CCCCCCTAATGATCCACGGAATAAGTATTTTGGATAGTAATAGGGGGGCCTGCCGCTGGCAGTGGCCCCCCTAATAAGCAGTGGAATAAGTATTTTGGATAGTAAAAGGGGGACCTGTTGCTGGCAGTGGCCCTCCTAATAAGCCGTTGAACAACTATCTTGTATTGAAATAAGAAGGAATGCCGCTGGCAGTGGCCCCCCTAACTAGTAAAGTTTCAAAGAAATTTTGAGGGGGGCCACCTAATGCCGTCAAGGAACCCGGTGCTGGCTTCCCGGGGCCCTCAAAAGGGGTCTGGCAGGTCGACTAATTGATATTTGTGCTCTCTGTGATATGGGCGTGTGTCTATGAGAGGGCCTGAGGGAGAGACACAGTGATGAAGGAACTGGCTAAGCTCTGGGGCCAGATGAAGGAATGCAATTGGTTTTAGCAGGTCGGAGAAAAAGACCTACGCAATGAGGTATGACATGACTGGGTCCGGTCCCAACCCGGTGCGGTCCGATCCCCAGAACCGGGCTATGACTAAAGACCTTTAAGTGGCATTCGCCCGCCCGGTACCAGAACCAATGTATTATTTAAATCCTTCTAAGCGGGCTTCGCCCGCCTGGAACCAGAACCAATGTATCCATCAGCTCCACAACTCACAGAGCTCTGCTGATCGCCACGGCAACAGCAGCCTGGCCCCAACATTCCAAACACAGGTGTGACTAATCACTACAGTGCAGCCATAACACAGCCAACTGTCAGGTTTGGATGAAATGTTCCTCCGAACTCCTGCCTGCTGTTCAAAAAACTAAACCAGCAAATTCTTAAATTATTCGACCGTGAGCGGCACGAGGGTTTCAGGTCTATGTCAGTCTATTTTTTCCGGCTGCATCCAGTGGTTTTTTCTTATCGCAGTTTAAAAATGAGGGCCGTTTTGGCTGTGGTGAAAAAAAAATTCTACCTTTTCCCATTAAAATCCCATAGAGAGGCTTGTGAAAGTTTGGACTCTGGGCCCGATTGCCGGAAAACCGTAAGGCCCAGGTAAAAAACGGGCACATCAGTCGGAAGAGGACGCCTGCGGCTACGTTTTGAGGCCATTTGGGTTGCGCCCGGCCCCATGGTTTGGTCGCGAAAGGCCAGAGTTTGACTTTTCGGTGAACGTCCCCACAGGACTCTCAGAGGGATTAACGAGCTGACCTAGAGTGCGGGGAAAATTCTCTGACCTCCTAAAATTCACTAAAACGTCAACAGCGATTGCGGGCAAACGGTGCGAGATCTGGCCTCGTGGCTCCGATATGGCGGAGGCCCATCTTTCGTGACCCGTTCAATGTTCGAACGAGGTCTCGCGGATGTCGTGGGGCCGAGCGATGAGGCCCTCACGGGGCTCATCGCTCTGGTTTTTTTGGGCCCGTTTGTCGACTGCCCCATTCATTCCTAAGGCCAAATCTTGCCACTTTTTTGCCGTTTGCTCGGAAACGCCCGGCCTGCCGCTGGCAGTGGCCCCCCTAATAAGTACTTTGAATAATAATAGGGGGGGCTGCCGCTGACAGTGCCCCTCCTGATAAGTTGCGGAATAAATATGGCGAAGAGTAATAGGGGGGCCTGCCGCTGGCAGTGGCCCCCCTAATAAGTTTTTTTTTTTATTTTTAAATTTTTTACGTTGTCCTGTTCAGCATTATGGTAGCTGAACTGATATCTGAGTACCGTGCTATGCTGAACAAAATTGCTTTTCCAAGGGAGGCTTTGCTAGTGAGAAGCCCCCTTTGATTACCCAAAACTTCTTTATTTATTCATTTTTGTTACCAAACTTCCATATGTCCAATAATGCCGAACCTGACAGAGGGACAGGGGGGAGGGAAGAGTAGTGGAAATGAGAGAGATCCTTTAGAAGGGGAGAAAGGGGGGAGAGAAAAAACAAAAAAACAAAAATAAAAAAAGGACAAAGAAAGACAACAAGACCATATGACAAGCTGTTATGTCTGCAAAAAGCACACTGTTCCTTGTTGGCAATCCGAGTGGAGAATCTGTAGTAGCACCTGCAAAAGGGCAAAGGGGAGACAAAATAACAAAAAAGCAACAAAAGCAACAACACTGGTAGCAGGACATTAATATGATCCAAGTGACCAGAGGAGTCAGGCGCCCCAGACAGCCAGACGCAGCGGGCCAGCAAGACCCCCAACGCCCCTGACCCCGGGGACCCCGGTGTGACCGATTGTCGGCTCGGCAGTGGGGAAATTCAGTATTTTGAATAGTAATAGGGGAGCCTGCCGCTGGCAGTGGCCCCCCTAATAAGTGCTGGAATATGTATTTTGGATAGTAATTGGGGGGCCTGCCGCTGGCAGTGGCCTCCCTAATAAGTATTTTGAATAGTAATAGGGGGGCCTGTTACATTTATTTTTAAATGTAATGGGGGGCCTTCCGCTGGCGGTGGCCCCCCTAATATGTTGCGCAATAAATATGGCGAAGAGTGATAGGGGGGTCTGTTGCTGGCAGTGGCCCCCTAATAAGAAGTTATGGAATGAGTATATAGGATAGTAAAAGGGGGGCCTGTCGCTGGCAGTGGCGCCCCTAACCCGCGGAATAAGTATTTTGGATAGTAATAGGGGGGTCTGCCGCTGGCAGTGGAGCTCCTAATAAGTATTTTGAATAGTAATAGGGGGGTCTGCTGCTGGCAGTGCCCCCCCCTAATAAGTTTCGGAGTAAATATGGCGAAGGGTAATTGAAGGGCCTGCTGCTGGCAGTGGCCCCCCTAATAAGAAGTTGCAGAATAAGTTTTTGGATAGTAAAAGGGGGGCCTGCTGCTGTCAGTGCCCCCCTTAATGAGCCACGAAATAAATATTTTGGATAGTAATAGGGGGGACTGTTGCTGCAGTGGCCCCCCTAATAAGCCTTGGATTAAGTATTATTGATAGTAATAGGGGGGTTTGCCGCTGGCAGTGGCCCCCGGAATAAGTATTTTGGATAGTAATAGGGGGGCCTGCCGCTGGCAGTGGCCCCTCCAATAAATAATATGAATAGTAATGAGTGGGCCTGGTGCTGGCAGTGGCCTCTTATAAGTTGCGGAGTAAATATGATGAAGACTAATAGGGGGCCTGCTGCTGGCAGTGGCCCCCTTAATAGAAAGTTGCGGATTAAGTATTTTGGATAGTAATAGGGGGCC